CTGAGACAAGGTTTCTCTGTGTAGCTTTTCGCCTTTCCTGGAACTCACTTTGTAGCCCAGGCGGGCCTCGAACTCACAGATCCGCCTGCCTCTGCCTCCCCAGTGCTGGGATTAAAGGCGTGCGCCACCACCGCCTGGTCAAACAGTAGTTCTTAAACCAGAACATCCACTGGAATTTTCTGGGTGTCTGAAGACATCGCCTCTATCTAGCCCTCTAGCTTTGCAGGTCTGGGTGGAGCTCAACAGTTTGCATTTCTAACAAGTTCCACTGGGCTGTGAGATGGCAACACAAGATGGAACAACACAGAAATAGCAGCACAGAACCCGATGTGGGTTTTGAGGTCAGTCTGGTTCTGATTCTGGCTCTGCCTTTGTGGGTTTGTGAGGCAACCATTGACTTATCTTACCCCCATAGGCCTCCGCTTCCACATGGATAAAATGAAGTTATAGACTACTGCTAAGGTTACGAGGTAGAACCTCAACACTTGGCTGGGGCCTTTGACGGTGGTCCTTTCATTTTTTTCTGAAGTTGCTCTTCCCCTTTTTCCATGTGTGCTGGTTAGTTTCTATGTCAAACTGCCACAAGCTAGAGTCATTTCCGAAGAGGGAATCTCAACTGAGGAAATGTCCCCACCCAATTGGCTGTGGTGCATTGTTTTGACTGATATAGCTTTGAGGGTTCAGCTCACTGTGGGTGGTGTCAGCCCCCGGGCTGGTGGTCCTGAGTAAGCCATGGGAGCAAGCCAGTAACTTCTTCATGGCTTCTGTACCAGGTCCTGCCTCCAGGTTCCTGCCCTGACTTCCCTGGATGATGAACTATAAATTGTCAACGAAATAAACCCTTTCTTCCCTATGTGGTCATGGTGCTTTATCAAAGTCATAGAAAAATAACTAATACAGACGTTGATATTAGGATAGTGGGGCATTGCTGCGACAGGTATGACCATGTTTGGAAAGACTTTGGAACTCTAGGCTGGGAAAGTTGAGTGTTCAGAGCTTAATGAACTGTCGTGGGAACTAAACCCATAAACCCGAGCTCTGTGCAGATGATAGGGGCCTGGCTTGTGAAGTTTCAGAGGAAAGCTGGGGAGTCTCTTAAAAAGACTTTACTGGGGCCATGTGATATTTTGAATTAATAACTGCAGCTGCTGGTGGTGCACACCTTTAATCCTAGAGCTCAGGCGGCAGAGGCAGGAGGATCTCTGAGTTGGAGGTTTACAGAGTGAGTTCCAGGACAGTCAGGACTACACAGAGAAATCCTATCTTGAAAAAACAAACAAACAAAAAAAGAACTGCTAAAGTGAATAAAAACTTTGTTTTGCTGGACAATATATACTGGTCAGATGGGGCTGAAGAATCAGCTGTGAACAGGAAGAGACAAAATCTTCTGGGAGGAGTTTCCTCAGGGTCAGTACACAGAGGGGCCTGAGGCTGCATCCCATACTGGCAGCTGAACTTGGTAGTGTAGAATCACCTGTTGGTTTTGTTTTTGAAGGCATGATGGGGTTCTGGAGAGCGCTAAGGCTTGGAGCTGTGTGAAAGGGCTGGAGTTCCTGGAGAGGCCACTGATGAAGGTGCGGTCTCCGTTGCAGTTGAAGGTCCAGGATTGGAGGGGTCATGGAGAGAAGGCAAAGCCTGGCACCATGTGGCCAGGTTAGAGTCCCTGAAGAGCGTCCAGGAGAAGCTATTGGTGAAGGAACAGGACACTGGGCAGTGTTCCTCCACAGCCTCTGCGTCATTTCTGGCCTCCAGGTTCCTGCCCTGACTACCGTCAGTGACTGTGAGACCTGATAGTTGTAAGCTGAAATAAACCCTTTCCTCTCCCAGTTGCTTTTGGCCATGCTGTTTTTTCACAGCAGGAGAAACCTAAGACAAGGTGCATCATACCATTTCTATAACAGGGTCTGCATGACTGATTAAGCAACACCACAGGGCACATAATTTTCCCCAAACTTAAGAAGACAAACATGCCCATGGGCTACTTTTCACATCTTCAGTATTCACACAAAAAGGTAGATAATAGTGTAACAGAATCTACTTGGATACAGTCAACAGTATCAGTTTTCCAGGCACTGCAACCTTGGGATTGAACAAGATACTATGCTAAGTGCTTAGAGAGTAACTGACATATAGTTGCATAGTAAATGTCAGTTTCCTTTAATGGAACATACCAAGTGTCTCCCAGACCCATTTCAAGTTCACCTGATCTACAGCATGTCCATCTTTCCACCTCAGATTGCTCTTTTGTGGTAGCTAAAGGAAATTATTCAGTTCACTTAAGTACTGCTAAGAACACACTCTCCATAAAAGATTGTGTTGGGTGTCCAAGGAGGTAAACAGAAGGCACTTCACTGCAGTGGTCCATAGATGAAGAACTGACCAGGGACCCAAGGCGTGGTGGGACATGTTACAGAAAGTGTATGTTTGCAGATTAGAGTGGTTCATTTGAGATGACGTCGTTCTCAAGAACTAGTGAGCTCTGGCTCTGTGGTTGATGGGTATCAAATCCAAGTGTTCTATGGTCAGAGCTATGGAGAGCCACATCCATTCCTACCTATGCTCAAGCCTTTTAGTCAGTTTCTTCCTAAGCAGACAGTTTAGCTTTGAGCTCAGAAGCCAAACTGTTTGGTCTTGAATCCTGGTGTTGCCACTACTCTCAGTGTGATTCTGGGCATTATCATCTTTGTGCTTTCAGTTCTTCATCTTTAAAGTGATCTTAATAATAGTACTCTAGTTCATAGGTTGTTGTGAGGACTAAATAATCCAATAGATGTGAAACTAGAAAAACTGTAGTTATAATTGCTATTAATATTAGTCTCTAAAAGAATGCAAAGCAATAAATCTAGTCTCGTAGTCATTTTATTTATTCATTTATTTTTAAACCTCCCCTCTCAGATTGTGATCAAGCTATACATTTTCCAAAAAAAAAAAAAAAAAAAAAAAAAAAAAGCCAGGTGTCTTAGCACCTCTCTATGAGTTTGAGGTCAGCCTAGTCTATAGAGTAAGTTCCAAGCCAGCCAAAGCTACCCAGTGAGTCTGTCTCTCTCTTTCTGTTTCTCTCTCTCTCTCTCTCTCTCACACACACACACACACTAACTAACTAACTAACTAACTAACTAACTAACTAACTAACTAAGAAACCCACAGGAATGATTGTTGCTAGTCCCTTTCTGTTACAACAGTGGTTCAGTGGTTTATCATCCAGGCAAGAACCTAATAAATGCGTGTTAGTTGCCTTACTGCCACTGGAAAGCTTTGAAGGTCTCAAGTGAGCCTTGAGATTTGTGCATACCTGGTCTGGAGCTGGAAAGTGGAGGAAAATAAAACCTGATAGGAAAACAGGGCCTGATAGAGTAACTAACAGATTCTTTAATTCTGTCAAAGTTAATGGATGCTAAGAAAGCTGAGGGTCTATAAGCCAAATAAGATTTCCCATCTATTTTAAGATACATGCCAAGCTTCTTTAGACAGAAATCAAGCCTTTTAAGGAAGGTGAGGAGAACACACCTCGTGGGCTGCGTTAAGGGGATGCTCAGCAGGTGCTGAGTCTCACCCTGAAGGTGGCTTCAGGATTGTGTGAACTGAGGTGGCAATACTGGCTCTCTCCGGAAGGAAAGATGCTATCTCTCTCCGTGGAGTTAGATATCTATGGCACCACATGAAACAAGAAACCACAACAGCCACCCCAGCCCAGCCCAGCTCAATATTCAGATTAAACAAGAGCCGTCTTTTCTTTTCTTTTTTTTTTTCTTCTTTCCTGGGGGCACCCTTCTAGATCTTCCTCAGGTGCCTGAAGCAAAAATTCTATGATGAATTGCAAGTCAAGAGGGCAGTTGCATCATTAAGAAGTGGGAAGAGCAAGTGGAGGAGAAAAATTTATACTCAAAGAAGAGAAAAAATATGTATTTCTTGGGGGAGGGGTCAGGGGAGTTAGGGATTAGGCACATCAGTATCGCCTATACAAGGCACTCTAGGAACAGAAAAGGTCTCAGTTCCCTTCCAAATCCTTAGCATTTGCAGTTTCCAATCACCCAGCCCTGTACCCTATCCTCACCCAGGCTATACCAAGTAATATACCAAGTAAACCCAGCATCTTCTAAGTGAAAGTCTCTAAGAGAAAGCAGTAGGTGTGTCTAAAGTTCCCGCATGAACGTGTCTGGTGAGAACCAGGCAGGTCTGGGTACAAGGAGAGCCATGGATTGGGGTGGAGCCTTAAGGTGGACAGTACCTTGGTCCCTAGATTCCCCCCCACCCCCCCCCCAGCACTGGGCCTCCTGCAGTTCCTTTTCCGACACTCGGGCTTCCCAGGAGTTCTCATTGTGGTCGGGGGAGGGAAGACACTTGTTTTGCTTCCTTCAGCACTGGGGTTCCGCTAGGCTCCCTGCCGGCACCATATTCCCCCCCACCCCCCACCCCCTGCCTTCGGTACCTCTGCTCTCATGACGTCGGGGAACTCCCAAGCACAACTGGGGGCGAGGCAGTTAAGCCGCGTCCTTCAGGTGTCAATCCGGACCCGTTTGAAACCACAATTCCCAGAGTGCCTCGGTCCACGAGGCCAAGCCAGATAAAATAGCTCCAGAGAGTGGGACATGCAGCTCGGAAACTAGTCTCCAGCGTCTTTACCGGATGTGTTTAAATACTCGAAGCCCCACTTCTGCACCACCCCACTCCCACCTCCAGGCTGCGGAGACCGCGTCCGAAGGTGCGCCCGCTCCCGGGGCATTTTGGGAATTGTAGTCCAGATGCCGGGTTGCACCGAACTACCTTTCCCAGGGTGCTCAGCGGCCGGGCGATAGCAACGTTCTCTTCCAAGTGTCTCGGTCCGGAGCCCCCCTCCTCTGGTCCCCGTCTTGCCACTGACTTCTTTCGGTCTGTGGCAACAGCTGGAGTCCCAGAGGCGGCCCTGAGCGGGGACCGCGCTGCCCTGAGAGGCACTTCCGGTGTCAGGTCACTTCCGGGTGGGTGGTCGGAGCGGACGGGCGCGCGCGCGGGGGAGGGGCGGCCTCAGCGCGGCGCTCGGGGATCAGCTGGCGGGCGGGCGCCTAAGCGGCCCCGGCTCTGCGGCAGCGCCGCCTCCTCCGCGTCGCAGGCCGGCGGCCGTGGCCATGTCGCGGGGCTGGTAGCTGGGCTCGGCGCCGGGCTGCCGCTAGTGGGTGTCCGGGGTCCGGGGCCCGGGGAGGGGGTCCGGGCTGGGGGCCGGTGCGTTTCCAGGGCTTTCCTGAAGAAAATGCACGCAGCGTTTCCTCTGGATGACGGCCTTTGCTTCCCCTAGGACCCGGCAGTTGGGCTCTGGAGTGTGTTACTGATTCATCCTCTCTCTGCCTCTGTCATCACAGGTTTAAACTTAAACGATCGCTCCCCGAGGAGGAGGGGACCCATCGCGCGATTGACAGTCTATTCCTGCAGGCGCCGTCCCTCAGCCCCCACCCCACGGGCCGGATTCCCGTGGCTCCGCTCCGAGCTGAAACCCGAGAAGAAATCCTTAGATCTCTTTTCTTTACAACAAATACGAACCGAGAAACCATCGGCATTTTGCCTTGGCGTTTCCTATTGGGAAGATGAAGAAGTTTTTCGACTCCAGGCGGGAGCAGGGCAGCTCTGGCCTGGGCTCAGGCTCCAGCGGAGGAGGGGGCAGCAGCTCAGGCCTGGGCAGTGGCTACATCGGAAGGGTCTTTGGCATCGGGCGGCAGCAGGTCACCGTGGACGAGGTGCTGGCGGAAGGTACGTGGGAAGCCAGTGCGCGGTGAATTAAATTCATGTGCTGATGTGGCAAGACTCTGGTTTCTAGTTGTATGAATGGGTTTTGACCAACTGACCCTCCCTTCCCCCTGCACTTTGCCTGCGAGTCATTGTCCTTGAGAGATTTAAAACTCAGACTGGGAATTGACAGGGCTTGGGGGGCAGTATTGCCCAAATTGTTTACCTCAGTGGCCTTTTATTTTAGTTGGGGGGAGGGTGGTGGAGTGGAGAAACCTCCTCCTTTGACTGAATTATGCGGATCAGATGGGAAAACGTATGTGTGAAGTCTAGATGACATCAAATGCAGGGTGGTGGGCTTGCCATTTCCCTGAAACTTTAAATTCTGATGCCGAGGCTGAAGGGTGGGGATTGGAAGAGATCATAAAAAGAGAGAGGGGTTTCTTCTGCCCAACTTTCCCATTTCTATAAGTGAGTATCCAAAGAGGATTTTTCTGGTGATGGGAATGCATTTTTTTGGTCGTTTGACTAGGTTTGTTTCTTCACCCAGCTGTAAGCAGGTCCCCAGGATGTAGCCAAGATAAAATCATCAGAAGTGAATGAGATGGTTTTGAACTCGGTCGCTTAGGCTTCCTTTCTCCTGTTTTAGTTTCTATTTAAGAATTACTTAAGAGTGGCTCTGGTTTAGTTTTCTCTCAGTTGGAGAGGGTGCTGTTTAGATCTGCTGGTCGATTCTCTCGGTGTGTGTTCATTTGTGTATCTGTACTCATGCCCCAGGCTTTAGGGAAATCTTTCAGTGTTCCTCTGCTCACCTTAACCTCGACCTTCATAATTATGCCAGACTGATACTTTTCACAGCTCATTTCCTGCTTAGAGTGCTTTTATTTTTAATAAAAGCAGCGATTTCCTTGGCATGAAGCAATTCAAACTAATTGGATAGGGCCAGCCTACTGTAGGTTGTATTACAGACTGCCAGGGGTTGGGTGTGGGGGAGGCCTCGGTGAAGGCAACATGGTGGTAGGGGATAGTTTATTAGCTAGGGAAGAGAGGATGAAAGCTAAGAGGCCCCTTTGAAAAGGAGGCTTTTGCAAGCTGAGTTGAAGCAAGGATCCCTACCTGGGCCTAGGAAATGCCTGTCATGGTGAGTGTTGTAGGGTGGTGGATGGGTGGGTGGGAAGAGGGAGAAGCTGTGTTTGACTCAGTTTGTGTAAGCACTGGATTCGGTGGGGCCCGGTTTCTGAGGATAGGATTGAAGCCTGTACTTAAAAAGCACGATTTTAAAGAGATATCTGAGAATGAATTTCCTTTTGCAGTTACTGCTGTTTTCATCCTTAGTACTGCTCCAGTTGGACTTAGTCTGGACCTGAGTCACCATCCTTTCTGAACCTTTCTTTGAGAACTGGTGCAGGGTGGGAGATGCTTCTGTGTCTGCTGCCAGATCTGTACCTTGGAATCTGAGCTGACTCTTTTATCCTGTAGCCAAAGTCCTTGACTGCAGTGGGTGGAGTGTGAGAGAGAGAGAGCAGGAGGATGAGGGGCCCAGAGCTCTTTCCTCTTCTCTAAATGGCCTCTGCTGGCCTCAGAGCCCAGGAACATTTTTTTTCAGCTAGGATGTTGTCTCATCATGTGTGACCCTAAGTATTGCCTATTCTGAGTGATGGGAAAGAGAAAACACAAAATTGGTCTTTGTTTTCTAGGCTGCCCTGGAATTCATCCTGAGAACTGCTCATTGTGCATTATGATATTTTAAAAAGTAGAACTTAGGGCTCAAAACTGTGCATTCATTCATTCATTTATTCACCCAACAGTTACAGAGTGCCTGGGCTCTGGGGACATGATGTTAAACTAGATACTAGAGTTCAGAGATGTTTTAGGAGATGGAAAATGGACAATTAGTGATATGATTAGTGTCACCATGCAAATAAGCTGGGTGCAATAGCTGCAAATCTTGTCCTTAGGGCCCCTGAATGTTAGGGAGCCAAGAACTGTTTTATGGAATGAGCCATTATGGTGACAGCATGGGCTGAGGCTATGCGTGAGAGTAGCATTTAAAATTTGGTCTGGCAAATTCTTTGGCTATGATTGAGCTTGAATTGTGTGTGGCCTTTGAAGTATGTGGATATGTAGGAGTCAGTATTTATGTGGCACCTACTGAGTTTAAAGACACTACTAAGTTTTGAAGGGGTGAGGGGTCTAAACTCTAAAGTATGACGCCTGCCTTTATTTTAATTAGCCAGTAAATTTCCTTGAGGTGCTGTGGATCATGCTGACCTTGTACATGTACCCCTGATGTCTGTCTGCCTTTAGGGAACTACTAGTCAATATAGGAAGAAAGGAAATACATTGCAGGTATCGTAGTGTGCTTTGGGCACTGATTGTATAGTTAGACAGATTTAGGTTCAATGTTTGAATCTGCTTTTGTTTTTAAATATTTTTACATTGCGTGTGCACATGTGTGTGTGTGTGTGTGTGTGTGTGTGTTTGTGTGTGTATGTATATGTGTGCGCACAACAGCATGCATGTGGAGAACAGAGGACAACTTGCAAGAATTGGTTCTTCCACCATGTGGGTCCTGAGGATCAAACTTAGGTCATTCAGCAGATGCCTTTAGTCTTTGAGCCATCTCACTATTTCCTGGATCTGTTTTTAAAAAAACATTTATTTATTAGTATTACTTATATATATAAATATGTTATATTTATATATAATTATTATTAGTGTGTGTGCATGTGTGTGTGTGTATATGTGTGTGTGTGTGTGTGTGTGTGTGTGTGTGTGTGTGTGTGTGGTGTGTGTGTATTAGTGTATAGAAGTCAGAGGACAGTATTGTTATGTTAGTTTTCTCCTTCTACCGTTTCCTGGCTTCTGGGGCTAGAACTCACATTGTCAGACTTTTGTGACAAGTGTCTTTACTTGTTCAGCCATTTTGCTGGCCCCCTGGATTCTTTGTTTTTTTTGTTTTTTTGTTTTTTTTCAACCAGTTATACAACTTGGGTCAAGCTATTCCATAGGAGAACTTATTAGAAATGAAGCTCTCACACCTCACTCTGTAGATTGTGGGTATGAGACTTTACCAAGTTCCAGGGAGATTCTGATGTAAGCTAAAATCTGAGTTCCACTGCCCTGTGAGGTGGTATTGAGGCTTTAGTGTGATAGTAGATAAAAAGATAGTATATAAAATAAATGGTAGCTATTATGTAGCCAGCAACAGTGTGTCTATAGTTAAAGATGAGTGGAGAGCAGGGTGAAAACTGGCCGAAACGATCCAAAGCGGGGTCAGATGTTCTTTGCGGTATCGTTTGGGTAGCGGTGCCTCTTCCCTAGCCCCTCTTCTCTGAGTCCTCAGTTCTGACCTGTCCACTAACCCCAGCCAGAGTTGCTCAGGGATACTGAGTTATATGCCACGTGCCCCAAGCAGTGGCCAGGAGTATAGGTGGTGACAGTGGCAGTTTTCAAACACAGACCTGATTGCCACCACATCCTGTTGACAATTTCCTTTTCCCTAGTGTGGGGATTAGTGTGTGCTTCACAGAGGGGACTGGCAGGACTCAAGAATCAGGTGCTAGACAAGAGGGAGTACTGGGCTGCCATCTTCAGCGGCTGTCTTGCTAAACTGCTCTCTAACCAGTCCCTCAGGCACTTGGTTGTCTGGAGGAAGGTGAGCCTCTCAGCCATGAAGTAGAGGGATATGACCATCTCTAGGCCGAGTGCTTTCTTAGTGAGGATGCCTGAATGAGATGATAAACCATGTCTGAGTTAATAGACATGTGATAGCAAGGGAAGATTTGGCTTAAGCTTCTAGAATGAGCTCATTGGGAAAATTAGAGCAGTGCTTAGAAGCAGTACTTTTGTCATACTTCTTGGCTCAATAAAGCCTTATATCTAAAGTTTAAACAGTAAGTAAATATTGAATACTTGCTATGCCTAAGGCCGCATTCCAGAGCTCTATCAGTTCTGCAGAAGGTGAACTAGCAGGCCCCACAGAACGTTCTCACCTGCACAAAAAGAATCCAGGTCTGGGGCTGGTGAGAACTAAGACTATCAGAAAGCTTCCCTAATTCCCCCTAGCTGCAGAGCAAGAAAGAAAGGCTTGAAAACTGTGTGCAACCCCTCCTCTCCAGCCCACATATAGCACACAGTTCTAAATGTCTTGGTAGTACATGTGTGCATTCATCTGGTGAGCCATGTATTTGTGTTTTTCTGCAGCAGGCACTGCATTAGGTTCCAAAAAAAAGCTTGATGGGTCAGGGATTGAGACCAATAAATAACAAGTCGTCCTGGAATGAGTGTCCTGTTCAGCGATGATAGGGAGAAAGGGGTGGTTTGAACAGGAATGGCAGTTCCCCAGCAAGTGTACCAACCGTGTTACCCAAGGCCTCCGAGCCGGAAGGAATGGTGTGTGCAGACATGTGGAGTGGTGAAATGGAAGATGAATCTAGGAATACTGACCAGTGTGATGTCACTGTTTTGGTACCAGTTTCCCTTCCAGGCTCAAGGAAAGGAAGCCCATGGTGTGTGTGTTTGGAGGTGGGATAGAATGGGATTCTTGTATACTTGCTCCCCAATATGTATTTGGATGTGTTTGCTGCTCACTTTCTTCAGTGGCTCTGTGCTCTTTGAAGAACTACTAAGCAGCTATAAGCTATGCACTTGCTCCCTTACCGTGCCCTTGCCCTGTGCTAAAGCACAGAAGGGTGTCTCAGAAGTGTCTTAAGAGGCAAGAAGTTAAGCAGAAGCAGGCAGGTGTGTGTGTGTGTGTGTGTGTCCAGTGTTAGAGAAGAATGCACAGGGCAGTTAAGATGTTTGATTAGGGCAGGTGAGAAAGGGAAGAAATGGTTCATGGGGACCATTGAGCACCAAGCAGAGAGATTAGTTAGATCCTTCTGAGTCCCTCTCTTGACGCAGATACCACTTTGATCCCTCCTACTTCAGATGACTTTGCCTGCTGGGAAGTCTGGGTTTTTTACAGGCAATGCAGATTTTCAGGGGGTGGTTTGTGAATGGTGTCTTCCTGGTTTGGGGCA